GGGGAGAGAGGCGCGCCTGCGCATTGGCCGCTCGCCGCAGCGCCCCCTGCTGGCGGGAGGACCGTGCCGCGCCGCGCCGCGACCCCGCCGGCGTCCTCTCCTTCCGCCAAGAGGGGTCGCAGTGGCGCCAAGTTCGTGAAATTCCAGACTCTGGAGAGCTGGGCGGTGTGACCCCCGGATGCCGAGGAGGAGCAATGGTCCAGGAGAGAGGCGCGCCTGCGCATTGGCCGCTCGCCGCAGCGCCCCCTGCTGGCGGGAGGACCGTGCCGCGCCGCGCCGCGACCCCGCCGGCGTCCTCTCCTTCCGCCAAGAGGGGTCGCAGTGGCGCCAAGTTCGTGAAATTCCAGACTCTGGAGAGCTGGGCGGTGTGACCCCCGGATGCCGAGGAGGAGCAATGGTCCAAGGCTGAATGAGAACGAACCCAGCCCTTCGTTCTCGTTCATTCAGAATCATTCCTTATATGCGTGAGGCTGGAAATAAATCACCATAGTTGAGATGAATTGGGAAAACTGCTGCAAAAGACGTGGCAACGAACCCTGAATTAAGCGTACGTCTCAGGAAGCAGCATACGCGGAGGTCACGGTCACGTGAACGTTATCAAGCCTCACGATTTAAAAACGCTGGAACGGAATTTGGGAGGAAAAGAGAAAGTGGTGTTCTCTGTAAATGCGATTTTCCTATCTATCATTGAGGGTAAACATATTTCAAGCTGATAAATCAAATAGTAGAGATTTAAGTATCTGTCTTAGTACAGGGAAGCATACTAAGAAAGAATATAAGTAACTCAAATCTGGTGATTAAGAAAAGGAAGAAAAAGAAGAAAAGAAATATAGTAATGAGTCAATAGATAATCTAAAGAAATAGATGATTAAGGACATTATGTAACATTATCATGGTAACCCAAAACAAAAATTCAAATTTTTCAAATCATCGAAACACATACAATATAGTTGTCTACAATAAATCAAACTAAATCACACAGTGAAATATTTGAAAAAGTTACAAAACAGAAAGCATAGCAAAACGGTATAACAAAACTAAGATCAAACATTTCATACAAATAAATATAAGCAACCTAAACTTACCTATTTTAAAAAATACAACTTCAGAGCGGAGCAAAATCTATAACACATCTCTGTTGTATACACGAGAAAAATAGAGTGATTCTGAAAGTTTAAAGTTACAAGAATAGAAAAGCTATACCAGGAATATGAAAACATGAAGAAATTAGGGATCACAAACTTACTATTACACAGGGTTGACTTCACAGCAGAAAGTATTAAATGAGTTTAAGAAGGATATTTTATAATCATAACTGTTTGAATTTCACAAGGAAGAAAAATAGGAATATTTATGCAGTGAATAACCATTTCATTATTCATAGCAAACATTATGGGAGAAATAAAGAGAATGAATAGAAATCATTGGTATAGTCCTTGCCACATGAGAGGCACAAGAGGTAAACAAGGATAGAGAAGACTTAAAAATATAATTAACTTGGTAGATCTAATATATCAAACTCTGTACGCTGACACAGAGGTTACATTTTTTCAAGTGTCCTTGGAACATTCACAATTGGCCATATTTTAGGCCACAGAGAAAAATCTTAATTACAGTTCAATAAGTAGAACCATATGAATGATAACATCTGATCACATTCAATAAAACTGGAAATGACAAAACAAATAAAAAACACTCCTACTCCTTGGAAATCTTTAAATGCTTAAGTAACATTTGGATCTAAAAGGAAAACAGAAAAACAAAATAATACCTAAAAAAAGGTTCGAAAATTAAAATGACATATCAGAACCTATGAAATTTCACTAAAATAGCACTCAAAGAAAAACACATGGCTTTAAATGATTGTATTAATTAAAAAGTTAGAATAAACTAAATAAATTAAGCACCCATGTAAGAAGTTAGAAATAAAATGAAATAAACCTTTGAAAAGCAGAAGTCTGTAATTAATAACGATAAAAGCCTGCAATGATGGTGCATAAAATGGAAAAATAAGGAATTAAAAAAATAGGTCCAAGAGCCAATTCTTTGAAAATAAATAGTTGACCTATTAACTAAACAAGAACAAGGAGAGAAAGCACAAACATACAAAATATGGAATAAGGGGAATTAACTCCAGATGCAGAGGAAAGTAAAATTATCTTAAGAGGTGACTTTGTTTAGTTTTATCAAATAAGTTAGGAAATCTGGATAACATAATAATTTTTAGGAAAATGTAATTTCTCAAAATGGACTTCGGACGAGTTATCGAATTTAAACAAATCGACCGTCACAGGAGAAATGGAGAAGAAGAGCAAAGAGCTCTTTTCCCAAAGAGCAGCAGATCCAGATGTTTCCACAGAGGAATTCCACCCTTTAGGGCCAATGAATTCCGATGTGCTGTTCCAGAGCAAAGAAAAAGAAAGAACGCTTCAAATTTCTCGCGTGGAAATAGCACAGAAGTGACACCCAACAGATACAGCCCGAAGAAAACTGTAGGCCAACCTCACTTACGAATCTCAATCCAAAAGTCCTAAATGAAATGTTAGTACAGCATTAGGACAGAAATCCTCAGTCCTGGAATAAGGTTATTCCCAGAGCTGTGGGGATCCGTTCCCTTTTCCTACCCATGATGCGGGGAGAGGGGCTTGTGGCAGAAAGACAATGGGCTCGGGCCCGGAATGTGCAGGCTAAGTGTTTAGGCAGACTGAAAATGCAGTTAATGGAAAAGGAGAAAGTCATTCTCTAGATAGGAAATGTTCGTTGAACATTTCAGAAATAAAATGAGTTTACTGAGTGCCTCCGATAGTTTCTGGCTTTCTATCAAGCTGGGAAGCAGAAAGGGCCAGAAGAGCAAAGACAGAAGGTGTCTAGGCTGGGTGTCCCCAACCCTGATCAAAGCACAGGTGGGTGAGCAAAAGCCCTGACTCCGAGGCCCAGAGCCTTGGGGACTCTCTAAAGGGGAATCTGCTGTCTGTCAAGCCTCCCTCATCTGCTGGACGTCCCCGGTTTGCAGGCCGTTTACTGCCACTGCCTTCCTCTCTTTGTGGCTGGAGTTTCGTACATTTCCACATCATTAAGTCACACATTGACAGACAACGCTTTGGTTTACAGAGCATAGATGCGGTCACCGCCATTGTTTGGGAATTTTCTAGTTTAATTCTTAGGAGGAAACCCCTTTCCCCCTCATCTCCGAGTGCATTAGAAACACTATTCTTGCTTCTTCCCGTCAAAGGTCACTAATATTACTCTTATTTTACACACCGAGAATCTGAGGCTTCATGAGATGCAGGATTGCAACCCAGGCCGTGCAATTTGCAGGCAAGATAAACGAACTGTGAAGATTCAGATGAGGGACAAGACAGAGGCACAGGAAGGAGGCCAGTCCAGGCTGAACGGCAAACTTCCCTAGTGACACCTAGTGAAACAAGTTGTATGATTTCTCTCCAGTAGTGCTCAGCAGCCTGGAGGGAGGAGAGCAGAAAGTAGATGGTAGAATTAATCAAAAACTGGAAATGAGCATGGCGGATGTTCTCAGAAAAAGATAAAAGAGATGCTTAGGCTGGCAGGAAGTGGCTAGAAAGAACCACCATAGCATACAGGACGGACAGAGACTGGAGGAAGGCCAGGATGAGTGAAAATAAAAAAGTAGGTGGTACATTAGGAGGAAAACATGTTAGTTAAGATGATAGTTTGATCGCAATGATAATTTGATCAGAAATGATTATTCCCAGGGACTGCGTGTGTAGTGATACCTTCGACATACCGCGAAGGATGATTTTTGTTCATTTTTATATAACTCTAAGCAATTTTGTCCGTTAAAATTTTTTTCTTGTTTTTCCCCTCTACATTTTCTTCCTTTCTAAGTTATTCTTTACAGTTATTCTTGCTCTTTAATGTTTATTATAGCAAAAGTTTATAAACAAGCTAAATAGTCAATAATAAAAGCTTAGTGAAATTCATTTATGTAGGGTGACGATTTATACGGAAGGATGTCATTGTTGTTTTAGAAATATGTAAATACATACAGGAAAGGTATCTAAGGAATATTTGCAAATATGGTTTTCTCTGTATAGGTGGGATTATAGCAGTTCTGCATTTATATTTTTTGCTTATTTGTACTTTTTCCCAGTAAAAAAAAAAAATTTAAGTATGTAGAAATTTCTACATTTTTTAAAAAGTTTTCATTCATTTTCTACACATTGACGTCTGTTCTGCTTATTTGACAAGATTTTCCATATATTTCGAACTGTTTTGGTCGAAAGCTAATCCTTTCAATAAGAAATGTACTTCTTTGAAAACATAATTGTGCATGTTTTATGATTTCGATGTGGATTTTTTTTTTGATGCCGAGTTTACATACGCACATACCTAAAATGGCCATAAATTTACCAAATGTTTTTACCCCTTTCCAGGAGTGACGTTCCCACTGCGGAAGCGGCTCCACGTGCGAGTGACATCTCCGTGGGGGTCCATTATCTTTTCCATCCTGTCGTTGGGCACCATCCCCAGAGTGCATGGGCGGAAGCGAGCCTTGATCCAGAACTTTGATTGTGAGTACAGCTTTGACTGACACCCTTAATGTGGTCCTCAGGGTGTGATCAGGTCATCAAAGCTTACGTGGCAGGATCGGGAAATGAGTTTATGTGTGATCAGAGGGTTTCGAGGGATTAGTAACACTTTCAGGTCGCACAGGTCTCCCCCCGTGGAGCAAAAGCTTGCATAGAATAGTGCAGACAGCTAGGCACAGAGATAAAACATTCACAGAACGGCGGAGGACAACTGGCACCACCCAAGGGCTGGGAATCTTCACATAAATCATCTCATTTATCCCTAAACAGCCAACGACGCTGGTGGTATTATGGACAGGAAACCGAGGCTCAGAGAGGTCAAGAAATTTGCTGCAGGTATACGAT